TAGGCTACTTGTTTTTCATGAATGTATTTTACAACAATACAAAGAGCAATGTGTAACATTTTACCAGATTTAGTTCTACACTTATTAACTTTTATTTGTTTCCCACTAATGTTGTTTCACTAAATGTTTAGTTTAGTTTAATGTTTTTATAAAATTATTGTGCACACATGATTTTTCTAAATAACTTTTGCTGCTGAATTATCCACTAACCTAGTTTATAAATAGTATTTTTTGTCATAGATTATGATTATATATTTTTTAATTTGTTATTTTTCATTAAAATGAAGTTGTCTAAATTTAGCAGGTTGTGTTTAACACACACACACACACACACACACACAAGAGTGATGATCAGGTCAACCCACAGAAGTATAGAAATTCTACATTGATAAAAAAAAAAAAAACTGCGCTGGTATCGGATCAGATCGGAATTGACCGATACTCAGAATTTTTGGTATCGGATCGGTTCTGAAAAAATGGTATCGTTGCATCCCTACCAAAAAGTGCCAAAAAAGTAGGCATTTTTCCTTTACACAATGCCAGAATGTATTGCATGAAAAAGTTCAGTGAAGAAATGTTTGAAAAAGAATAGCAAAAAATCAATTTAAATGGAGTACTTCCTTTAATGTTAGTGTGCTATGTGTTTATATGCTCATTAGAGTCTCATTTCGTAGGCTTAACAACATTTTTTTTTAGTTTTGGCTTATGAAGAGGTCCAAGTCAATCACTTTTGAGGGTCTATCTAGGTCAGGATGCTATGTAGGCAGTAGAAAGTTTTGCAACAGAGGTTATTATGAGCCTCTGTTTAGAGATACAGCTATACACAGCCAACCAGATAAAGACCTTCAGATGTGAAATGAACTTTGTAACTCAAAAAAAGAAAGACAGGAAGAGAAAAATATAATACAAAATAACGGTTTGTTTTTCCTCGAAAAGCTTCTGACCATATTGCCCGTACCATCGTAACGCAACACAATGCCTCCTCCTTGCACAATATGCATGTCAAACATGCTTTGATCTTCCTTGCGTAGACCGTATAGTAGGAAGCGTTTGATCTGATGTGATCGGTTTAAGCAGTATTACGGGCTTTCTTTATGTGTGTGTGTGTGTGTGTGTGTGTGTTTTGGCGGTTCTACTCCGCTCTGTTGAAATTTAAAAATTTAAATTTTTATTTGCTTTATCACTCAATGTCATGACGTCAACCGAAGGGCTCTGACTGCGGCTTACTTATCCCAGAACACTGTGGTGACTTTCGGCCCATATGATTTCAATGGAGGCACTGTGCGTTAGACTTTGTTTTTTTCTTTTGCAGTAACTTTTCCTCAACCAGATGGTGTCAACAGATGTCAGATGTCTTTGAGATGTGTTTCTGTTTCTAGAGTGACACACGCATACACCCACAGCCTTTCTCGCGAAGAATCGCCAGTCGCAAAAAACGCATAAACACAAACATGAGTGGGACGTTTGTATCTAAATTGTTGTAACTTTTCTTACTTTCCTTCCTCCCCTTTCCCCTTCTTTGTCCCGTCTTCAGTGCTTCAAGACGTTGTGCTGTAAAGGACCTCCCCCTCCCAGACCAGAATATGACGTGGTTTGTATCGGTCTGACGGGTTCTGGGAAGACCAGCCTGCTCTCCAGACTTTGCAGTGAGGCAACAGACAACATCATCCCTACCACAGGTCAGCCCACCATCATAGAGCAATACCAGACCCGTCCTGCAAACACAAACACAGATCTTTGCACTTCCTCTTTGCCTTCAGATACGCTTTCCCTTGTATTGAGATTTTGCCTTGTGATTGTCTTTTAAAGTGATTAAATCTCGGTCAGTGTAGCAATGAAGGTGTTTTAATGACTTCCTTTTATGAAATCCTCATGGCTGCGGTTGTTAATCTTGTTCAACTTTTATTTGCAGGTTTTAGCATTAAAGCGGTCCCGTTCCAGAATGCCATTTTAAATGTCAAGGAACTCGGAGGTAAATGCTCTCTGTTGTTCATGAGAATACTACTTTTATTTATTTTTTTATTTAAGGGTCAATGACAAATAATATAAAATAACGACAACTAAAGTCTTCTAAAAATATTTAAAACACAGATGCCAAGTTCTTAGAAAATTAATCTTTAACCATCAAATGAAAATAATAACATTTTCCTCACAAAACAATGTGAGTGTGCACAATTTACAGTATCTCACAGAAGTGAGTACACCCCTCACATTTTTGTAAATATTTTATTATATCTTTTCAGGTGACAACTCTTATTTACAAAAATGTGAGGGGTATACTCACTTCTGTGAGATACTGTAATACTTAATTGTTTTGAAATCAAACATGTTTCATGAAATTGTATATATTTTTAATATATATATTTTTAGGGCTGCACAATTAATCGAATTTCTAAACGCGATTACAATTATGGATGCCACAATTACGTAATCGTTCAAAGCGGCAATTAATCGTTAAAAGTGCACTTATGTTATTCTGCGTGCTTAAGATGTGTTTTTTTCTTTCTACGGCATGCAGTTGCATAAAACAATGGTATAAACATCATTCAATGTAAGTTGTGATAATCGTAATTAATAATCGCAATTACAATTTCAAGGGAATAATCGACAATTATGATTTTTGTCATAATCGTGCAGCCCTATATATTTTCTACATATATACACTGCTATTCAAAATGTGTGGTTTTATGCTCACCAAGGCTGCAATTATTTGATCAAAAATACAGTAAAAACAGAAAAGTTTTGAAATACTATTAACTGACTTCTATTTTAATATATTTTAAAATTTAATTTATTCCTTTGATGCAAAGCTGAATTTTCAGCATCATTACTCCAGTCTTCAGTGTCACATGATCCTTCAGAAATCATTCTGATATGCTGATTTCTTATTATCATCAATGTTGAAAACAGTTTCCATTTTTATGGTAACCTGATGCATTTTTTTAAGATTCATAGAGAACTCAAAAGAACAGTATTTATGTGTGTATGTGAGAGTAATGTCTTTACTCTCACTGTTCACATGTTTAATGTGTCCTTGCTGAATAAAAATCTTACCCCAAACTTTTGAATAGTAGTATAAGAAGTGCATTCAAGTCATTGTATGTATGAGTAAATTAATCAATCCAGACAAAAAAATTAGCATTATGTAACTGACCCATTAGCGAATATCTGCGGACACATCTGTAACAACATTTTAAGCTGTTATTTCACAATTATTTCACGTGTGATCTTTTGAAAAGTAAACTTTGGCAACACATCACCTGACATATGATGACGAATATGAATGTAATTTGACACAGATGTTACATGAGGGCCCGACCAAAAAGGACACAAACTCACTTCTTTGATGACTAATAGTTTTCTCTTCAAGGTAAATTGAACCCCAGGAAGCGCCAGTGCTTGGATGCGGCACGCAAAGGAAATGTTTCAGATGTCACTCGCTCAATGAACCCAGAGCCATCTTGGCCCGAGTTTCCCTTTGCGTATGAGTGAAGGGCTGAGCCTTTGAATCTGTCTTTAAAATGAGTGAGTGATGACAAGAATAAGAGGGTGTTGAGGATGCAGGGAACCCGAGGGGAAGGGAGGGCTAGATAGGTGAGGAGAAAAAAACAGCTGGAACTGAGATTAAAGAGGGGCGTTTCCATCTAGGCTATGTGTATTGAAGCCTGTTATAGAAAAGCAAATGTCACCTTTTCAAAGGAATAGGTTCCCCAAAAATGAAAATACTGAAAGTTTGGATGTCATTCTGAACTTCCGTCACAAAAAAAAAGTATGTACTTTTGTCAAACAAAAAACGATTTTTTTAGGAATGTACTTGTTGTATGTTAAGCCAGGGCGGATGTCAAGATTAAAGTAGACATGAAATGAAATGAACCCATCTGTTTTGCAAATGCATGTTATACATTAGATCTTATTGTGAATAATTCATGCACGTTTCATTTTTATATCATAATGTCAAGACCCTCCTGTGAAAATGACAGACAACTCCCTGATGACACATGCTAGAAATCTTCAATCATTTAGTCTGCTTAAACCCTTTCCCTTTCTTACAATCGACTGCTAGTGCGCATTCATGTTTAAGAGCAGTGCCCACATCTCAAAATTTAATCACCGCTTTAAATGTTGACCTGTTCCTGACACAAAGCTTGGACCACAATTATGGTTCTATGCCATTTTTCCTTCTTTTTGGAGCTTAAAGGGTTAGTTCACCCAAAAATGAAAAATTAACCCACAAATTACTCGCCCTCAAGTCATCCTAGGTGTATATGACTTTCTTTTTTCAGACGAATCCAGTCGGAGTTATATAAAAAATTGTCTTTGATCTTTCAAGCTGTTCCCTGGAGCCGTGTGAGCCACTTTTTTTTAATGGATGGGCGCTTTTTATTTAAGTTCTTTTGGACTGATGCATGCAACACCTGCTGAGTGGCATTAAACAGCTTGAAAGATCAAAGACAATTTTTTATATAACTCCGACTGGATTCGTCTGAAAAAAGAAAGTCATATACACCTAGGATGACTTGAGGGTGAGTAATTTGTAGGCTAATTTTCATTTTTGGGTGAACTAACCCTTTAAAGTCTCGAGTCCCCATTAAGGGTGTAGTAATATATTGTGTCACAATATATCACAATACAAAAATGTAACAATATGTATCATGGATAGTGACCATACAATAATGAATGTTGAGCCAGATTTAGTTTAGGTTTTATTTCACATACAAAGAGCGCATCAAATATGGTAAACCCAGAAGCTCACACATTTGAGCTTTCATTTGTATGAATTATTATTCATAATTTAATACTAAAATACAGTTATTAATAAAAAAAACAATATTTAAAACTATTTAAATATATGTAGTCATGGACAGAATGTCTTTCACATAATTCTGTATTTTTAGCTAAGTGGGAAAATGTCTTTCTGGTTAATGAACAACAGTTTTTGTTAACTATAATATGTCTTGAATATGAAGTAAGAATTATACATTTTGGCTTTGTCTGAAGTATCGTCTTCTTTAAGTGTCATATTGTGAAATTAGTATTGTGTATCATGACACAAGTGTATTGTTCCACCCTTTATCCCCATTAATTTTAACTGCATGGAAAAGAGCGACCAGCACATTCTTCAAAACTTCTCTTTTTGTGTTCCTCAGAAGAAAGTAAATGATGACAAATGTTCAGTTTTGGGTGAACTAATCCTTTAAAAGTGAATTCTTATAGGACAGTTGTTGGTGAGAAAAAGGCCACAATGGGAGATCGCCTTGAAATTAATGAACCTCTGAATTCTCCTTGAAAACCGGTATAATTATGTCCTGTTTTCCTTTTAAGCACTTTGGAAACCTTTCCTCCAGACCTCCAACGAGTTCAGCTCAGTGTCATGGGCCTGTGGAGCATGACCTCTTTTTCCCCAAAAACATCAGTGTAGGGTTACGGCTGGGACATTAACCTTGAACCTGACGCGGAAGGCTCATGTCACACTTTATTGATGGAGGTTGTGTGCCGGCTTGACATGCTGGCTCTCCCGCCTTTTCCGCCGCGGCCATTGAGACGGTTTACCGTTCTTGCATGTTATTGCTTGGTCTGCCTGTCTGGCCCGTGTTTTGGGTCTGCGTGAGTGATGTCAGGAAGCCGGGAGACGTTCAAAGCGCCGCGCTGTCTGCGTGCATTTCCCATCAGTGTCACGATGACACCCTGTGCGATCTGCCAGGCTGACAGACGCACCAGAGAAGGGAGCCCCACATGCTCACATTTACCATCTCGCAGCGACCATCTGAAAGCACTTAGCAGACTCTCTCTCTTTGTTTCTCTGGACCACGGCCATGATGTAATGATTTCTGCGAAAATGTGCTTTAGTTGCATTATCACATGAGATTGTAATGCACTGGCCCGTTGCTGATAAATGCTGTTTTGTTCCGTCACATTGTTTTCGTCTTAATGCACATGTTTATGCATTTGAAATGAAAGTAAACTGCTGCTTTTCAAGGCCCAAGACCTCCCAGCGTTTTGATTTTACTTTCACAGCCAGTAGATGGAGACTTTGAGTAAAACCATACAAACGTCAAGCCACAAAGAAAGTGTTGATGCACATTTGAGACTGATGGGATGTTGTGTTTTGGAAAAGCCAGGCCATATAGGAAAGAAATATCAGGCTGAGTGATTATGCGTTAATAGTGCTTGGTAAAATGGCAACAGCAGATCAAACGCCTGTTAATTAGATGAGTCAGCCTCGGACATGGCCTGTCTGTGAGGATCCCAAATATTTATTGTGAGTCACAAATTGTCTAAACATCTGCAAAAAACATTATTATTTCCTTGGCCAGCGTGTGCTATTGCTGTCAGGCTTGCATGTCAGCCATTGGAAAGCTGTTGCCGAATACCGCAATGGATAATACCTAATGAGAACTGGAAGTATTACATTGTGCATCATACACAGCGATGATATCAGGGAGTCAAGCTCTGAAACTCAATCTGATAGGTGGAGTCTGTTCCAAACGTGAACCGAGACCTCTAGAACAGTTTTCGTGCTGATAATTTGGCGAGGCATGACTAAGAGCTCAATTTGTGGTGTGACAAAGGCTTAGAAGTTTGGAAGTGGAACCATTAAACTCGCGTCCAGTGTGTTTAGAGAGGGGGAAAAAAGGATTGCACAGCTGCTTAGTGTCAAGCAAACAGCTTATACGTCTTGGCCGAACTTCAAGAGCTTTGAATAAAGCTGTCGATTACTGTCTGGCATTGATTTAAGACGCCATCTTTTCGAATAGCATTCTGTTTATTATTTCATGCCTCGAGATGAAAACAGAGAAATAAAGCTACTTTTTAGGACTCCTCGTCATAGGATATGATGCGCGCGAGGCATGCTATTAATTAATACGACGAATTCCATTCGTGAGACTCACAAGGACGAGAGGTATAGACAAACTGGTCTCTGTTTTTTCACGGTTAGGGTACAGGCCCCGCAGTGACTCACTTTAACCAAAGCCATGCTGCGCTTGTGTGTCTTGGTGGCCACATTTTTGTACCCCCAAATTGGTGTGCACAAGAGAAACCATATGTTCACTGTAAAAGTGGGCCCATTTGAACTGTGCTGTAGACTGGCCATCAGAAGAAACCATTTTAATACGCTCTCAGGGTCGACTTGTTGCGTTGAGCGCTCTTCATTTGGACACGGCTTTTACCACAGGTCTCCCCAAGCGAGAGTGCGAGTTGGCATGCGTTTTTGAAGTCATAAAAATACATAATGCAATATCCGCAATGATTTTTGAAAGGAGGTCAGGGTGCTCACCAAATGCATTTCAGCGATGTTCGAATTGATGCTGTGTCGAAACACGCTGTAGTCCGTTTCCCGCTAGGTTGCCAGAAAGTTTCTCGTTGTGCTTTTTGTTTAGAGCTTTGCCTTGTTTTCGCCGTCTGATTTATGTCGGACAGGAAAACCACCTTTTTTTCGGCGAAGGGGTTAATGTGTGTATTAAATGTTATGACTTCCTCGCTGCGATCCTGACGGTGTGAATTTATGTGTTTTGTGGTGCAGGAGCGGACTCAATTAAAAAGTACTGGAGCCGGTACTACCAGGGCTCTCAGGGGGTGGTGTTTGTTTTGGACAGCGCTTCGTCGGAGGAGGACCTGGAGGTGGCGCGTACAGAGCTCCACTTGGCCCTGCAGCATCCGCAGCTCTGCACGCTTCCCTTCCTCATTCTAGCCAACCACCAGGACAAACCTGCTGCCCGCTCTGTACAAGAGGTAACCCAATACTCGCTTAACACTTCCCTTCCTCACCCTGGCTAACCGCCAGAACAAACCTGCCGCCCGCACTGTACGAGCGGTAACTTTACACTCGCTTAATACTTCCCATCATCGTACTGGCCAACCACTGGGACAAGCCTGCCGCCCCCTTTGTACTAAAACGAACCTAATACTCGCTTTATACCTCCCATCATCATCATATACTGGTCATATACTCCATTCAAGAGTCATCTCATGTCATTCCAAACCTGTATGACTCACTTTCTTCGTGAAATGAAAGTCAGTGGGGTCCCAAACATGAATTACATGTATACAAATGTGACCCTGGACCACAAAACCAGTCTTAAGTCGCTGGGGTATATTTGTAGCAATAGCCAAAAATACATTGTATGGGTCATAATTATTGATTTTTCTTTTATGCCAAAAATCATTAGGATATTAAGTAAAAATCATGTTCCATGGAGATATTTTGTAAGTTTCCTACTGTAAATATATTAAAACTTAATGTTTGATTAGTAATATGCATTGCTAAGTATTCATTTGGACAACTTTAAAGGTGATTTTCTCAATATTTAGATTTTTTTGCACCCTCAGATTCCAGATTTTCAAATAGTTGTATCTCGGCCAAATATTGTCCTATATCCTAACAAACCATAAATCAATGGAAATTATTTATTCAGCTTTCAGATGATGTATAAATCTCAATTTCGAAAAATTGACCCTTATGACTGGTTTTGTGGTCCAGGGTCACAAATATTTTTTTTTTTTAAATATCTGTTTATGTTTATCACATATGTTCAGCAGAGGAAAGCAAGTCATACCGGTTTGTAATGATATTATGGGCGAGTAAATGATAGAATTTAAGAGGTATCCTAAATCCAAAGTCCCTTTTAAGGCAAAATGTCATCTGCTGCCCTAGGCACCTATTTCCAGTCATGCAGCTGCAGCTCATATATGCTTTAATCAGAATAGAACGGAATTTCCTAAAACTATGTATCAGTGTTACATTAAAACAACAATCTGGCAACAATATCGTAAATTGTGTTTCTTTAGCTCAAATCACACAAAAACACCCCCAAAAATGCATGCCTTTATGAAAACGGTACAGCGGGACCATAGCCCCCATATTTAACTTAGTTTTTTTTCTTGTTTTTATAACTTAAGTTGTGCACACTTTAGCTAAATTTGGCACACTTTCATGGGCAAAAAATGATGGAACGTTTCACGTGAGGGATGTTTTACCCTTACATTAATTTCCTGATCTTGCTTTTTTCTCCCACAGAATTTCATCGAAGAATGGTAAATGCGACCACATCTTTAGACCTTTGCTGAGATACAAAAATGTGTACCACTTTTGAGATATTTATTGTAAATGTTGAATGATTATTTCACCCCAAAAGGAAAATTGTCATAATTTATTCACCCTCATGTCGTTCCAAACCCATACGAAATTTGTTCATCTTTGTAACACAAATGAAGACATTTTTAAATAAAACCTGAGAGAAACTTGAAACTTAAAACTCTTCAAAACATTTGTAAAGAGGTCAAAAAATGAAGATTGGAGAAAAATGGAGATTGATCCAAATCTTCTGAAGAGACATGATTGGTTTATATGATGAACAGATTTAATTTAGGCTTTTATTCACATAAACATTGATCAGCGAGCATAAACAGAAGCTCAGCCACACTTTACTTGATGCACAAGAACAAAACTCATTGGTTCTTTCAGTGGAGGGACAGAAATCTCTCAGATTTGATTAAAAATATCTTCATTTTTGTTCAGATGATGAAAAAATCTGATGGGTTTGGAAAGACATGAGGGTGAGTAAATGATGCCAGAATTTTCATTTTGGGGTGAACTAACCCTTTAAATGATAACAACATTAGGCAACACTCCGTCTGTTTCAGAGGATTCGATTGTTGTTTGCAAACACTGACAGGCCGCAAGACATTCTCCCACAGATCTGCAGCACCCAGCTTACCCACTTTCTCAGGCTTTCCTGACAATAAGTCTTTGTATTGTTGGGAGCCCAAAATACTGGCGGTGTGGGGAAACACTACAGCTGTTGTCCCATCTCATAAGAGTGTATTCATTTTACCAATTACTCTATTTGAGATTCTTTCAAACATCATTTCAAAAGCAAGTGGCATCGGAATTAAGATGAATTGCTGGCCGCTGTTGGTAATAGCAAACAGTTGGAATGTGTGGCATGTCTCTGCTGTCACATTTCTATTTTAATGGTCCCCTTTTCACTTTTATGTTTGGAGGATTGAGTTACTCAGCCTGTGCGTCTTTTCCTGAATGATTTGGTGTCTGTGTGTTATTTGGCTGATACCATGCGTGTTGGTTTGTGTGTCCGTGTGTGAGCGTGCATGCGCGTACATCTGCTCCGAGTGGAGAAATCGGTCCACGGGCTGCAGGGTATCACCCAATGCACAGAGCGCTAATTAACTGGCTGAGAAGTGGTCCTGAGTGAGCAGTAAATATCTGCCTTTGGAGAATAACACATCCCAGTTCACTGATGTGTCAAAACGGGGCTTTTCAGTTGGCAGCGACACTCGCTCTCCTTGCTGGAGATACAACTTGGGTTACACAAGATCAGACCTGACCAGCTTGTTTTCCATTAAATTGCTCTCAATCGATTTCGAACTGGATTAGATCTCCTGGACCTCCTATGGGCATTTTTTGAAAGAAGAAAAGATCCACAGTGCAGAAAACAGAAAGGGAACTGGTCAAATATTTTTGGGTCATTATAAGGGATAAAGTTGCTGCCAGCATTTTTTTAAAGGGGTCATATGATGCGATTTCAAGTTTTCCTTTCTCTTTGGAGTGTTACAAGCTGTTTGTGAATAGATAAGATCCCTAAAGTTGCAAAGACTAAAGTCTCAAACCCAAAGAGATACTCTTTATAAAAGTTAAGACTTGTCCAAGCCTTCCTAAAACGCCTCGTTCAAACACGCCCCCACATGTCTACGTCACAATGTGGGAAGATTTGCATAACGCCGCCAAAATGTTTACGCAATGCGATGCAACGTAATGCGTAAAAAGACAGTAAGTCATTATAATCCATAATTATGTCCCCACTGGATGCAACAAATGCATCGTCTATTATGGGTTTTATTGGTTTTGTCTCGTTGCGCCGGTACACAGCATCACAGTATGGTAGGGGCGTAACATGCTTGAGGTATTTGGCCAATCACAACGCACTGGATAGCTGACCAAATCAGCGTACACCTCGCTTTTCAGACCGATGAGCTTTGTAAAAATCATAGAATAGAGGAGCAACAATAATGTACAATATGTGGAAAATAATGTGTTTTTTGAACCTTAAACCACATAAACACATTTCATTACACCAAATACACCAAATAATGTTCTTTTTAGCAACATCATATGACCCCTTTAAAAACCAAATCCACTGTGAAATTGTTATGAAAAACTTTTTGGGTGACAAATTACATCAAGTTGATTTTCAGCTTCACCGCTATTTAAATGAAATATAAATTACCTTTGAGGCATTATATAAATAAATCAAAAAGGAATTATTATTTTTTTTGACTGTTTACTTGCCATACCGCTGCATTTGCTGATTAAGTCCACAAGTCTTCAGCCAACAGCCTTGCTGTTAAATGTAATCTTGAAATACAATCCTCCCTCTATACTACTTCATCTGCACATGCTATTCTGTGGAGACATTTCAGATCATTTTTCATTTTTGCCAGATATAAATTGATAAATGTATCAAATGAAGGTCTGCATCGCAATGTGGTTTGCATGGAAGTGGCCTGTACGCCAGCATCAACCTGTTTTGTTTTATATTTCAGGGTGTGAACTGTGATAGATCATCTGTCTTGCCCTGAATGACCATTTCATAATGCTTTTGATTCCAGTAAACATTTCTGTACTTCTATGGTTACTAAGTAATCCACCTATGTCAAGAGTTTTCAAATATTTTATTGCCAGGGAACTCCAAATATGATGATCCCCTTGTGAGGAACCCCCTTCCCAAAATATGCATGCAGCTGTGTATTTTCATGTATGCAGATTCTTTTATACTCTAAAAAATAGTAAACCTGATATTTTAAAGACAGCGTGTTGTTCGCAGAGGTGAATTATTACATTTTATTTCTATTTGTACTAAATCCTAAATAAATTACTACAGACTGGTGACAAGACATAAGACAACTTTGAGTTATTCTTCATAAATTTGAGTCTCGATTGCTTTTACTATAGTTTGTCTTTTGACATTAGCACATAAATACTTTGATTTACAGTAGGTTACTGTTATGAGATGAGTTTGAGATGACTGAGCATAGTTTTTTGTTGGATTAGGGTTGAGCAGGAGGACTAACAAGTCGTCCTACAACCAAATGGTTGATTATTAAAGGGATAGTTCACCCAAAAATGAAAATTTGATGTTTATCTGCTTACCCCCAGGGCATCCAATATCTGGATTTAAATGTTTAGCTTTAATGATTTTTAGCCACATTGCACTAGATACGACTAGTTGACTAATCATTCAGACAACCCAATTATTAGTCAAATTTGAAAATATTTTCGCACATCACTAAACAACATATGTGGTTATGAGCACACAGCTTGAGACTCAGTTTTGCCCAACTGTGTTTGGATTGGAATTGGTCAAGTGTAAAATTTCTGTCTTGCATACGATATGACGCAGGAGAAACTGAAAAAAATGTGAATTTCAAGAGAACCCATTTGTGTTGACTGCTAGATTTATGACTATGTTTTCCTCTGCTCTTTATGAAGATGAGACGAAAAGCACATTTAGGACCTGTTGAGATGTTTGAGTGTGAGAATAATACAAGTGATTAAATATGTGGCAGTAGGGACCTATTGTACCAAAATTGAATAAACCAATGCATGACTGTCTCAACAACCACATGAAAAATAATGTATAATTCTCTCCTTCTTGTGTGCCAAGTTCATTTGTGCCAAGGCTACAATTAAGGTTGCTTAAGGGGACATATGTAGC